GTTCTAGTCTCAGATGTGCCAATAAATGGCTTGGGCAAGTTTCTTCCCCAATTTGGGTTTCAATTTCCCCATGGCTAAAACGGGTTCATTGTATTAGATATTCCCTGTAGTCCTTCCAAACGCTAATATCATAATAGTCCTTCCAGTTCTAACATTCTATGATTCAATGCTAGATTTTGGCTCAGCCAGTAACTATGGGAAAATATAACATACAGATGGCATTACTGGGATGTAACTGAGTGTAACCGAAAGTCAGCCCTTCTGTTAAGTGATAGGCAGATGGGCAGGGCAGGTACTCATAGGTTAACTCAGTGTAGTCCCTCTGTCTCTACGTCTCTGGGTATGGAAGGAGTGACTGACAGGTTGGGCTTTGGGCCAGTAACAAAGGTACAGGGTCCTTATTCCCCAATCCAATAATCCTCCCAGAACACTGAAGCTCATGGCCAGCCCCAGGACTACCAGTGAAGATAAAATTTGCTTGTATTAGCTCTCAATCTGTACTTTCTTCACCTTTACTTCTCGTTGTTCATCAACCAGTACCCTCATATTTTGATCTCCCTGACCCTTCTCTTATCCGTGAGATATCCAGTGGTATAGTGGATAGAATTCTAGAACTAGAATCACAAAGACCTGAGTTCAATATTTACTAGCTGTGTGATCCCAGGCAAGTCACTGAATCTCTCTGAGCCTCAGTTTTCTCATCTATAAATGGGATAATAGCCCCTACCTCGCGCTTGTCGTGAGAATCAAATGAGTCCATATATGTAAAGCATATATAAATAGCTTTTTATAGTAATAATTATTATTTTTGTTCTCAAAACTTGTTCTTGTGAACATATCTGCTGAGCTTACTCACACTGAGAGGGTGGAAGAAGCATTGAATTTGGTGAGAAGGGACCTGGCTCTCTAAGTTTTGACTCTGATAGTTACTACCTGTGTGATCTTGGACCATGTGCTTTGCTAATCTAACTTCAGTTCTCTCATCTGGCAATTGAGGGGAATAAAGTAGACGGTCTCTTAATGTTATTTTCTAGCTCTAAATCATAAGATCCTAAGATGTCAATGACTGATAATTCAATTTAGTTCAAAAAGAATATATTAAATGCCTACTATGTGGCAAGCAGTGTGCTAGGTTCTAGGGACAAAAAGTCAAACATGAGGCCATCCCTGCGCACAAGGACAATTCTCCCTTCTGGATGGATACAACAAAGGTAAATTACAAATAAATATAGGACACAACTAGTTATAGTAATTAGAGGTAGTCCTAATTCCTGGGGGGAGGGGATCAGGAAATGTCTCTTGTAGCAGGTGCTACCCAACTTGAGTTTTGAAAGGACCTAGGGATTCCGAACAGCGGAGGTAAGAAGGGGCAGCACGCTAGGCCTGGGAAATGGCCAGTGCAAAGGGGCAAAGTTGGAGGGGACTGTTGTGTATAGGGAGCAGCAAGAGGGGCACTTTGACTGGAAGGCTGAGTACATGAGAGGGATTATGATTAGATTAGATAGGTAGGGCTTTAAATACTAAACAGAGGAGCTGGTAGCTTCTTAGCTTGGGAGTAGCATGGTCAGATCTATGTTTTAAGAATACCAGTTTGGCAACTGTGCATAAAAGGGCAGATGGGAGGGGAAAGGGGCTACTAGCGATGCAGGGAGGCCTGTTGGAAAACTTGGAAATAGTCTAGGCCAGGGATGGGGAACTTATGGCCTTGAGGCCACGTGGCCTTCTAGATCCTTAAGTGTGGCCTTCTGACTGAATTCAAATGTTACAGAACAAGATCTGTGACATTTGCATTCAGTCAAAAGGCCACACTTATGGATCTAGAAAGCCACGTGTGATTTGAGGGCCATAGGTTTCCCCACCCCTGGTCTAGGCAGTAGGTGATGGGTACTTGACTTATGGTGTTCATAAGTGTTAATTAAAGACAGATGCAAGAGGTCTTGTGGAGGTAGAATCAAGGAAACTTAGCCACTAATGAGATGAAGGGTTGACCAAGCCTCTGAGTTTGTGAACCTGGAAGAAAGGGGGCTGCTCTCAACAGAAATCAGCAAGTTAGGAGGGGAGGGTCTAGAGGGAAAGATAATAAAGTCAGCTTTGATATTTTGAGATTGAGATGCTTTGGGGACATTCAAGTAGAGGTGACTAGTTAGGCAAATAGAGAGGTGAGACTGGAGATCAGGAGAGAGCAGTGCTGGATATATACAGGAGTCATCTGCATAGATATGATCATTGAACCCATGGGAGTTGATGGAATCACCAAAAGCATATAAAGAGAAGAGGGCCTGGAACAGAGAGAGCCCTAGGGGTAAACCCACTGGATAAGGTCACTCTCTCACAGAGGTTTTTAATGTTTTACCTAAAAAACTTTAAGCTAAGTGAATGAAATTTTAATACTAGAATTTTAGGCCTCAGGGACAGGCTATGGGGTGTGTGTGTGTGTGTGTGTGTGTGTGTGTGTGTGTGTGTGTGTGTGTGCGTGTGTGTGCTTGTGCACTTGTGCGCACGCACTTTCTGATAGGACTGTCTTATAGATGCCCTTTCATAAGATATATGTATGTGGATGCTGTCTAAACCTAAAAAGATGGCTGTCTGGCCTGTGGCACTGACAGATTGTCTGATCTGGGATCTAACCAACCCCTTTCCAGGGAAGTCTGATTCCTGCCTTTAAAGGAAGCAGGATGATGCCCATGGTTGAGTACTTATTCCTTTGTTTATCTACCTCCAAGAATGGTACTGAATTAAGTTTATCCAGCAGACTTTAAATATCTGTAAGTCTAGGGAGAACAACATTTTGGGGAACTCAGGATACACGCCACTTTCCCTGATTGCCCTTAATATCACCAGCTTTTCTCCCTCCCACCAAATGCTGGTTACAGAAAAGACCACCATGAAAAGCAAATAGCAAGTAAACTTATTTATCCAAGCAAAATAGTTCACAAAAATCAGGGGAGTTATAAAGATTGGAATAGAACAAAACATGCACAGTAATAAAGGAGTTCTTCAATTGGAAGCAAGATAAAATACTTCATCAGCACAACCAAGGAGAGAGGAAATGATGTCTCTAAGGGGAGTCTGCTCTCAGCAGTCTCTGGGGTTACAGGCCCTGAAAGTCAAGGAACATGATCAGAGTTGCTTTCCTTTTTTTTTTTCTTTGGGGCTAGGCAATGGGGTTAAGTGACTTGCCCAGGGTCACACAGCTAGTAAGCGTCAAGTATCTGAGGCTGGATTTGAACTCAGGTCCTCCTGACTCCAGGGCTGGTGCTTGAGCCTCTGGGGACTCCCATTATCCATCCCAAAGTTCACATCGTGCCTTTCTTCATTCATCTCTCCCTGTATCCTTCTTCAGAATGTCCTCCAACAATCTCCCTTAGTGCTGGTACACAAAATACACACTGTTGTCTCAGCCAATCAGGAGCTGTATCTCCCTCCTAGTGCAACACGGAGCAGTGGGTCACAGCTCCAGAAAAACTGTCCATCTCACGTGTGTTAGAGTGCATGATAGACCTAAAAGGATTTCGTAGCAGTGACTGTCTACCAGGGGTGGCGAGCCTGTGGCCTCAAGGTCACACGTGACTGAAGCAGTCAAAAGGCTGAGCTTGAGGACCTAGAGGGCCACATGTGGCCTTGAGGCCTCAGGTTCCCTACCCCTGGTCTACGCTGTCAAAACATGAGGTTAAGTTTCTCCTCTGAATATAATTACCACATAGTTGCCAACTACAGAAGCAGGAAGGCAGCAGCTGTAGGCAATAGCCCTGAGGCATGCACCAGCCTGTCTTCCTCCCTGGCATTATTAACAAGCAGTGAGTAAAATCGAGCAGAATTTGATCCCGTGCTGGGTTGACTTGTCTCACTGCTATTGGAGAGAGCTATCTGTCAGAGAGATGTAGGGAGCCAGTGAGGGTATTTTGTTGCGCAGGAGAGCAGTTCTGGAAGTCTGATGTTCTGGAGTGATTTTCTGTGTTTCTTAGTGTTTCCTTGTGTTATGAATGTCCTTGTGGACATTCTAGGTCATGTTGTGAGTTCACTGGGGATTTGTGCACAAAACTCTCTGAACAGTTTGGGTAATAATTAATCACAATAATAGAGCTTACTCTCTGCCAGGTGTTTTACAATTATTATCTCATTTCATCCTCACAACAGCTCTGGGGCATAAATGTTATTATTATCCTCATTTTACAGTTAAAGAAACTGAGGTTAAGTGACTTGCCCAGGGTCACACAGCTAGTAAGTGTCTGAGGCTAGATTTGAACTGAAGTCTTCCTGATGCCACGCCTAGTTTTCTAGCCACTGTGTCACCTAACTACTCTATCAGTCAATCAGTTAAGAAGTATTTATTAAGAAGTTATTGAGTACGGGTGCCACGCATGGGGAATACAAAACATGGTCCTTGCTTAACGACATCTTCTCAATTGTTCGCTTTTCTCGAGTGCCTGTCACAGAAGTCATAAGACTCTGGCTAGTTTGGGTGATGACAATTTATTTTTCCAAATGAATTTTGTTAATATTTTATTGAGTTTTGCAAAATGTCCCTTTGATAATTTGAAGGGAATAGCACTAAAAGTGTAAATTAACTTTGGTAGTATTGTCATTTTTATTATATTGGCATGGCCTAGCCGTAAGTGCTGAATATTCCTCCAGCTATTAAAATTGTTCTTTTCTTTATTTCTTTAAGGAACCCTTTGTAACTGAATTCATACGAGTATTTTTTCGTGCTTTCATAAGTTGATACCAAGATATGTCATACATTCTGTAGTTATTTGGAATGGAATAGAATAGATTTAGAGTCTTTTATTCTCTCTTTCTATGTCTATCTCTGTGTTTTTCATTTATTCTCTTCTCATTAACCTTTCTTCCTCCCTCCTTTTTCATTTCTCTCCTTCTTACTCCTCTCCCTTATTTCTCCTTTTTGATTCCTTATATGGATCTCCTTTTTCTTTCTCTCTTTGCCTGTTCCCCCCACCTTTTTCCTGCTCACTGTTTCTCTCCGTCTTCCACCTCCTCAGGAAGATGGGCAAAATCTTTTGACTCCAATGTCACCGGAATGCAGAAGTTCTACACAAGTGAGAATGTCAGCGTGGACGTGTCGATGATGTTCCAGTCTGGGGCCAATAATCACTTGTTTGACAAGGAGCTGTCCTGCACAGTGGTGCAGCTGGAGTACTCTGGGAACGCCACAGCCTTCTTCATTCTGCCAGATGAGGGAAAGATGGACCAGGTGGTGGCTGCCCTGAGCCGAGATACGCTGAACAGATGGTCTCAGCTCCTTCAGGACAGGTAATCCCATCAGCCAGACCTCCTCCAGAGGGGCCTTGACTTCTGCCATAGGCTAGGTCCAAAGAGAAATGTGGAAACTGAAAATCTGCACATTGAATTAAGTTTTCTTATAGACTCAAGCTGTCATTCTAGAGCTTCCATATAACATTAGCAGGAAAAAAAATACTGTACTGTTAATCTCCCAGAAGATCAGTCACTGACTTCATTGATTCCTAGATGTACAGTCTTAGGCAAACCTCTTTACCATCTTTAAAATTGAAATAATAACATTTGCACATGAACACAATTATTGTTAGGCTCAGATGAAAGTGAATGGGACTTTGTGACAGCTACATAAACACTAGCAATTGTTTATGTTGCTGATGTTGTTATTATTAACAATAACAATACTTTCTGACGCATTGTCCTTGGGCAGGGATGCTTCACACTTCTGATATATTTTTCCTTCTGATATATTCTCCCCCAAGTAATTAAGCATCTGTAAGCCAGTACTTAAGTATACCCTTAAGGTAAACAGATCCTACAATGAACCTTTCAGTGAAGTAAAGAATTACTTTCATTTTATCTATTTTATAAGCTAAGATCTGAGTATATAGGGTTTTCTTAAAGTGGGGCTCACTTACTCTTTTCTTGAGTAAATTAACGAAACTTAGCCCATTGCTTCAAGGTTTCTAGGCACTCAAACAAAAAAATAAGTAGGGTACTTACTACCTGTGTGATCTTGGATGAATCATTTAAAATCCTTAGGTCTCTTAGTGTCCTTTACTATAAGGAAATGATAGGACTAGTCTTAGATGGACTCTGAGGTCCCTTTCATTGCTAGATCTCTGATCATGAAAATATGTTATCTGTGTTGAATGATAGAAAAGTTACAGAGATTATCCAAGGTGGAAAAGACTTTGTAAGTCATCCTAACTGAATGACGTTTCCCTCTCTACTAGAATATGTTCTCCTCCCCCCGCTTCAACGCCTAGAGATATCTTATTCCCTTTTTGGACAACTAATTTATTTTTTAATTTTTTATGAGGCAACTGGGGTGAAGTGACTTGCCCAGGGTCATACAGCTAGTAAGTGTCAAGTGTCTGATCAGAGACTGCATTTGAACTCAGGTCCCCCTGACTCCAAGGTGGGTGCTCTATCCACTTTGCCACCTAGCTGCCCCTGGACAACTAATTATTGAGAGGCTCTTATACTAAGCTGAAATCTGCCTCTTTGTAGCATCTAAACCAAGGTCCTAATTCTGCTGTCAGAGGCCAAGCATACCAAGTCATTTCTTTTTCCACAAGACAGCAGTCCTTCAAATATGATAACAAATCTGTTATCGTAACACACCTTGTCCCTTACCCCCAATCTTTTCTGTAATCTAAACTCCTTTAGTCTACTTCCCATAGTGGACATACTTGAGCTTATCAATGTCCTTCCTAAAGTAGGATGCTCAGAACTGAGCACAGTTTAATTCTTATGAATGTATTTTTAATAAATGCTTGTTGCATTGACCTTAGAGATAACCCAGTCCAAACGTCCATCTTGCTTTAAATTTGGACCTTTTTTCTACTCTAATTTGTGGTTGGTTTCCTCTATACTACATTGTCTGCTGGGAAACACATGACCAATGGAGTCAGGGTTGGTATCATGAGGGGGGCCGAAATGTTCTGCAGCTGTTTCTACACCCTGAAGTAACCAGGGCCAACTGGGAAGCCAAAGAGAGCGAGAGTTTTGGGAAGACAAAGATATAGGATTAGGAGGAGAAAATGGCCAGGGCTCTCTCTCTAGCCTTCCCAACACTTTTAACCATTTTCTATTTCCCCCTAAACAGACATGTGGATTTATATATTCCAAAGTTGTGTATTTCTGAGTCCTATGATCTTGAAGATGTCCTAAGGGAAATGGGGATGATGGACCTATTCACCAACCAAGCCAATCTCTCTGGCATCACTAAAGAAGCCTCAGTTCAACTATCTGAAGTAAGTAACTCAGATCGACTCTTCCTTGCCAAAACTCACATTTCAGATAGATTGCTAATGACAAAGTATGTATTTCAGGGACGTACTTCATTGCCAATTACTGAAGGAAGTAGGAAACCATGTTTCTAATCTCGTCTCTACTGCTAACTAGTCACTCAATCAATCAGTCAGTAAGTATTTATTAAAATGTGCCAGGCTCTGTGCTAGGTTCTAGGGATACGTGTACAAAGAATGAAGCAGTCCTTTCATTCTGAAGCAATCCCAGCTCCCGAAGAGCTTACATTTTAATGGGGAAGACAACAATATGTGCAAAATATAGAAAACATAAAGATACGGTTAATATATAAAACTATGTACAAAATAGTTAAATACAAAGCAGTTTGGGAAGGGAGCCTAGTAATTGGGTATTAGGAAAGGCTTTATGCAGAATCTGATGCCTGAGCTGCTTCTTAAAGGAAGAAAGGGGCTCTGTAAGATGGAGGGGTGGAGGAGGAACATTCCAGGCCATTGGAGTTGGCCAATGCAAAGCTACAGATGTGGGAGATGCGTATCATGAGTGAAGAACCGAGAAAAGACTAGTTTGGCTGGAACTATATAACCTTTGGAGGGTCTGGGTTCAGATCACAGGAGCACCAGGACAGAGAGAACCACAATGTGGTAGCAAAAAGAATTATAATGAATAGGATAAACTCACATTTTCAGCCACCAGAGGGAAGTCTTAGTCTGGACCCTGAAAAAGATCTGTGAGAACATTCTGTCGTCACTGGCTTGATGTGAATGAAAGTTTCAAAGAGCCTATATAAGATAGTTCCTTTTATTCAGACTGCCTCTAGGCATGTAGCTTAGAGAGTCACATAGGTCTATAATCCAGGGGTTAATCAATGACAGCCCTGTGGCCAAATCCAGGTCACTACCTGTTTGTGAGCTAAAAATGGTTTTTGCATTGGTAAAAAAAAAATTGTATTTAAAGATGTAAAAACCATTCTTAGCTCTCAGGCTACACAAAAACAGGGATTGTTTGTCAATACGTGTCCTAGGCAGTTACAGATAGGGAGATCACTTGGCCAAATTAATACCCCCACCTGGCCATGAGGTGTTACATATAATTTTGTTTATGGGGTCAGAGAGCAGTCAGTCAACTAGGCAGTCAACAAGTCTAAGCACCTACTATGTGCTGCCACTATGATAGATAGTACTGAGAGACCTCATTGTGTACCCTCTCTTTTCATATACATTTTTCTGAAAATTCCCTGTCCTCTACACTTGGCAAGTTGCTTAACCTCTCTTGGCATACAAATATAGGAAGGAAAATGATCCGAGCTATCAGAGCGAGAGGATTAAAAGGGGCCAGGCTTCTGCCACCCCTCACAAGTAATGACAAATAGAAACAGTAATAAGGAAAGGAAGAGCTAACACACACACGCACACACACACACACACACACACACACACACACACACACACAAGAAAGTGAAAACCAACCATGACTTTTTAAAATAAGCAAAGTGCAGATTCAATTAAAAAATACTGCAGAACAACAAAATCAGCTAATATACCGGGAACAAAAGAAATAGAAAGAAGAAACCCCACAAGATATCCTAAGAGACATCTTCAGGTGGATAAATATCATGGTCAAAGAAACCAATAAAGAATGTTTTTCCTAGGCTGCCCACCTGCTTCTGCATAAAAGGCAGCCTGTGTTGTCACTGTCCTTCCCACACACAGCCTTACCCTAGCTGCTGCTGCCCTGGCTATGTGTCCTCCACCTTCACCTCCTCCATACAGGTTTATTTCAAGTCAGCCATTACAAATCCATCAGATGTCTCAACCCAGAGTGGGGCCTTTCGGATCCTGGCCACACAAATCCCCAGACTCCAGGTGCTAAAGCATGGTGTGATTGCTTTGCATGCTGAGAGTGCCAGATCACCAAATATCGCATGAGCAGTGGCTTTGTTATAGTGAATCCTTATTCCTATATTTAACTGCTAGCAAAAGAAGTAGTGTCCTAAACGTGTTGTAAGTAGCAGCTGCCAAATATGACTTAGAAAAGGACTACTTGGCCCTGTCAGGGACATCAAATTAAGCAGCTAGGGCTGAGGTCCAGATCTGAACAGAGGCCTCCAAAGCCATCATGAATGGATTTGACTCATGGAGTCCAGAGGTGGACCTTCAGAGTTTTCCCCAAGATGTTGCTGACTGGTCTGCTCCATGGAGTCATCATAATTTGATCAGCTCACAAAATTCCCAGAAAGAAGGATACCTAATTCCCACACGTCTCTCACAATAAAACCAGGAATGTGTGCATATGTGAAGGGGGTATAAGGAAGAAAATCAGGAGGCCAGATAAAAGAAGCATTTACAGAAAGTAAAAAAACAGATAAAAAATTAAATAAGGTTTAAGAATAGATCCTTGATCTGCAGTTTCATTGGTATAAGGAGTCCACAGTGAAGAAATACCTTTGCCAGTGGAGATCAGCACCTTCTCTGCAACTGATATTGTTGATGAGTTTCTAAGAGCACTTAGAGGTTCAGTGATGTGGTAAGGGTCACACAGGCAGTGTGTGTGTGTGTGTGTGTGTGTGTGTGTGTGTGTGAGAGAGAGAGAGAGAGAGAGAGAGAGAGAGAGAGAGGCAGGACTTGAACCCAGGTTTTCCTAGCTTTCTATTCATGACACCACATCACTTTTCTTAAATAAGAAAGAAAAAATATGAGAAATGACTAATATGAGAAACACAACTGAAAATCTAGAATAAGACAAACCCACAGAGGCAACAAATAGCAGACTTATTATGATGGAAAATGGGATACAATAATATAGACCAGCTTTAAAGATAGGGTTAGAAAAATTAGTTATCTAAATTGTTGAAAAATACTTCAATCTGAATGGCAGGTCAAGAGATAGATCATGAGTCTTCAATGTAAGGATTATGGACATTAAGGACTTAGAAAAACAAAACAATTTTGGAGTTATATTTCAGGAAATCAAAAAAACTTCCCAGAAATGGCAAAAATAATAGGCGAAGTATAGCTCAAAAGAATGCACAGGACACCAATAAGGAAAAACTCAAGACCTGACATGTCTAGACACATAATAGTTAGATTCCAAGGAAAAATAGTATGTTTCTAAAACAAATGATTCAAACATCATTTACTAAACAAATATAGTTAGGATTACGGTAAACTTTTCATGCATAAAACTTTTTATGCGACATTTACTAAGTTAAGAGGTTTGAGCTGTAAGTCTAAACTATTCACCTGGCAACATTTATCACACTGTATGAAGACAGGAGATGGGAATTTTTATCAACAAATAGAATTTGAAAAGTTTACAGAGTTTCAAGGAAGTTTTTGAATAGTCCCCAAGCCAAAAGGATAAATCTTTAAAACAAACAAGATCAAACAATCATTGTCGCAAGCAACCAGCTGATGAAGTGGAAGGGGCCCTAAATTTGAAATCAGAGGATCTGATTTAAACAATACCCCTTTCCCTTATTACCTGTGTAACCCTGATCAAGTCACTGAACCGCTTTTCTTGGCCTCAGTTTCCTTTCCTATAAAATGAGGGGTTTGGACTGGTTGGCCTTTAAGGCCCTTTCTAACTTGAAATCTACGATCCTATAATCCTACATTATTAATACTCCCGGAGGACTTGTACTAGTTAAATCACTAAAACTTTCAGAAGAGTATTTCAAAAAAGTGGAGAAAAAAAAAACTGGAGTAAAGATAGACTGGTGTAATTGTAAAACAAAACTCATGAATTTGATAAAGAAGAATGCAAAGTCAAAATAACCTATGTGGTTATTAATATAAGCAGAGACACTCTGTGCAGAATAAGCATGAATTCATAGTAGAAATAATAATAATAGCTAACATTCATATAGTACTTGCTATGTTCCAGGCCTTATGCTAGGCACTTTACAAATATTGTCTCATTTGATCCTCACAAGAACTCTAGGAGATAGGTGCTGGTACTATCCCCGTTTTACAGATGAGGAAATTGAGGCAAACAGAGGTTAAGTGACTTGCCCAGGATCACACAGCTTGCAAGTGTGTAAGGCCAGATTTGAATTCATCTCTTCCTGACTTCAGGCCTAGTGCTCTAACCACTGTGCCGTGTGCAGTGGAGCAACAGCCTGGCGTGTGGCGTCAGAAGTCTTCACTTCACAGCTCAGTTCTGACACATACTAGTCTCTTAACCTCTCACTAGATAGAGCACTGGGCTGGGAATAAGGAAGACATCTTCATGAGTTCAAATCCAGCCTAAGACACTTACTGGCTGTATGACCCTGGGCAAGTCACTTAACTCTATTTTCCTGTTTCCTCATCTGTAAAAATGAGCTGAAGAAGGAAATGGCAAACACCTCCAGTATCTTTGCCAAGAAAATCCCAGATGGGATCACAGAGTCGGACGTGGCTGAAACAACTGGACAGCACACAAATATTAAAGCTGTCATTTGAACCTTACTATTCTCCATATTGCCAGTGTTTTGCACAATGCCTAGTACATAAGTGATTTTTGATTGACTGAATGTTTTGTTGACTCTCTATAGGGCCCTCTTCACACTATACCATGATTTCTCCCTGAGAGTTTTGTGAACTTGAACCAGTAACAACCTCTGTGACCCTCAGTTTTCTTCTCTGTGTTACCAACCTCACAAAGCCCATGGAAAGTCCTTTATAAACAAAAAGCAAAATAGAAACAGAAGTTAGTGTAAATATTGCTGATTAATTGAACAAAGGAGTTAACATACGCAAAACACTTTGCAAATCTGCTGATGCTAATTATTAATGTCATTATTCTTGTTATCGATTGACCCACTCATTTCTGTTTCACAGTTCCTCCATAAGGCCGTGCTCAGCATTGATGAAAAGGGCGCCGAGGCAGCTGCAGACACTGCATTAAACGTGGTATTCAAATCATATCATCCAGTCATCAAGTTCGACAGACCTTTCCTGTTCATTGTGTTTGATCACTTCACCTGGAGCTCTCTGTTCCTGGGAAAAATCATGAACCCCGTATAAGTACCTAGACGTAAAATGTTGAACTGGAGAGGCGGTGTTGTGTGTCACGTTGTGGAAATGATTGGACTAGGAATCGGGAGACCTGCTTTCTACTTTGAGGGTTGGCGCTTCCTACCTTCACCTCAGTGTTCTATTTCCTCTTCTGTAAAATGGAGATAATTCTTCCCTGACCCTGCCTTCATCATCAACAATAGGATTGTTTTGTGGCCCAAATGAAGCAATGAATGTAAAGGTATTTTGAAAAGTATAAAGCCTAGAGTCTGTTTTATTTTTAATTTTTATTGATACCTTTTGTTTTTATATCTTCTTTACTTCCGAATGTGCCCTTCTCCCCAGTTTGGGGATCCATCCCTTATAACAGAGAGAGAGAGAGAGACAGAGACAGAGACAGAGACAAAGACAGAGAGGGAGGGAGGGAGGGAGGGAGAGACAGGCAGAGGCAGAGAGATGGAGAGAGGGTGAGAGAGAGAGAGAGAGAGAGAGAGAGAGAGAGAGAGAGAGAGTGAGAGAGAGAGAGAGAGAGAGAGAGAGAGAGAGAGAAACTTAGTGCATATCAACCTAGTCTGACAGCTTAGCCAGTATTCCGCATGCATACCACCCCACCTCTGCAAGGAAGGGACAGGGGTACCGTCTCTTATATTTCTTGGGGGCTATGCTTGGGTATGATAATTACATGATGTTCATGGTTGTTCTTTCTACTTTGAGGCCATTGTATATATTGTTTTCTTGATTCTGCTTACCTCATTCTTCATCAGTTAATATGTTTTCCCCTGACTCTCAGAATTCTTCATCGTTATCATTTCTTACATATTCCTGTATTCTTATTCAACACAGCCTAGGATCCAGTGGTGTGACAAAAAGGACTGGATTTGGAAGCAGAGGAACCGGCTCTGTATCCCATCTTTTATGCTTAACTTGCTCTTTGGCAAGTCCTTTTTCCACTCGGAGCCTCAGTTTCCTATTTATAAAATCAGGGGATTAGATGAGATGACTTCGAAGACCGCCTTCAGTTCTAACATACTCTAATCCTTTCTAGGGCCACAGCCTAATAATAGCTCACAGTATTATGGTGCTCTTGAGATCCCCCCTTTTGTATTCTGTTAGGAACCCTAACTTTAAATTCAATTAAATCTTCAGGAAGATGTGTACAGGCTTTTCTTCATTTTCTTTTCTTGACATTGCTTCAGCTTGGTCCATAGGGTCAGTTTACAAGGGACAGGTCAAGGAAGAGAAACACAGTTATGTTTACTGAAGCTTAACTCTAGCATTGATTAACAGCTTGCAAACCATCTGTGGAATTATCATTCACAAAAAAGGACACAGGGAGACGTGCAGTTGCCACACCAACAAACTTGGGTCCTAACCTTGGCCTGGCTTTAGGAGAAGGCCCACAGGTAACCGCTCCCAAGAAGTCATCCCTGTCCAAACATAGACCAGCTCTGGATGGCCTGGAACTATTAGGGGATGGGTGGTTTTATGAGGGTAGACAAAGGCAGTTGGAGCCTTTGTGTACTCATCTAGGTGAAGAGAACCTGTGTTATCTTTGAGCACATTGTGATGAGGTTAGATAAGGATAAACAGAGGCATCCCTAGAACTCTTCTCATGTCAGGAGATTGTTTGTGGAGTCACTGTCGGTCTTTTTAGTTGTTTTTAGCCGTGGGTCCTCCAACCTCTCAGGGAAAGGACTCTTTCTAACTAACTTGCAGTGGTTCCTGTAGCAGAAAATAATTCTCTTTCCCTTTTCCTCTTTTGGCTGAGAAGGAAAAAGGGAAGACTATGACCTTGGGCAAGTCATTTCCCTTTATGGACCTCATTTCCCTTGTCTGTTAAATGAGAGTTGAACCACATGATTTTTAAAGTCCCTTTACCTCTCCTTTTCCTGAGATTCCTTCTAGCTCTGACATTCCACAGTTGTTGAATGAGGCTCTTTCAATTTCATCTCTCCACAGAATGAAACTTTCCAGGAAGGTTTCTGCCTACCACTTGGCAAGACTCATTAGTTTAGGAGAGACCTAAGGAATTGGCTTACTCCACACTCCCAGTGAAACACATTATGGAGGATGTAAAGGAGCATAAAATATATTTACCCAAAGAGTAACCCAAATCCTCAAGTGTCTGAATACTATAGCAATGAAATGCTGAGAGGTTGGATGAAGAGAAGGTAGTGCCACGTACCAGAGCAGGAGAGGCATTCCTTGGGTGAGCTGAAGACACTTTGACTGCGCTCTGTAGTGGTATAAGAGAGCAAGAAAGTGGATAGTATCTTGAAAAATTGGTCTCTGCTTGATGGGGAAGAGAACGTGGTGGCCTCAGACAGTAGCAGGAATCATTTGAGCCTAAATGATTTAGGCTGAGAATCTCTGTCTCTCTGTCTCTCTCTATCTCTCTCTCTCTGTCTCTCTGTCTCTCTCTCTCTCTCTCTCTCTCTCTCTCTCTCTCTCTCTCTCTCTCTCTGCCATCCTCTGTCTTCTCTTCTTTATTATTTCTCTCTTCTTTAACTCCTCTTCTGTCTCTTGTCTTTGTCTCTCTCTGTATCTCTGTATTTCGCTCCCTCTCTTTCTCCTCTTTCCTGCATTTGTCTGTCTTTTTTGGGGGAGGGCTAGGCAACGGAGGTTAAGTGACTTGCCCAAGGTCACACAGCTAAAAAGTGTCAAGTGTCTGAGGCTGGATTTGAATTCAGGTCCTCATGACTCTCGGGCCAGTGCTGTATCCACTGCACCACCTACCTGCCCTCCTGTCTTTCTTTAGGGTGGGAATCTTGGTCACAGGTATTAGGACCTCAGCATCTTCCCTTTGTTTTGTCATTGTGAGGTTTGGGGGTGTCTATGAGTATCTATCAAGAGTCATACAAAGCATACAGAAGGCTGAAGCAGTAGGAAGTGCATTGAAATGGGATTCAGAAGACCTGGATTCAGATCCTGATTTTTGCCATTTACTATGTTACAGTGAGAAAGTCCCTTCATCTCTCTGGGACTCATTTCCTCATGGGTACAGAAGACGTTTGGCTGGACAACCTCTAAGATCCTATCCAATTCTGACGGCTCTCTCATTATTTGTTGTTGTTTTACCTACTCCCTCCATCCCCATCCCCCAAATTGTTCTGATAGGGGCTGATGACTTTCTGATTTCGAAGGGCTGCTTTACTTACGTCAAAGGCAAGGAAAAGTTACATAGACATGCCACGTCTCCATCCCACACTCCCACCTCACCATCTTCAGCCATGGGCAGTTCGAATGACTCAGATGCTACTGGCATCATTCCACCCACACTGCTCCCCATTCCTTTGGGTCTGAAGGGATCAAAGAAAATTTCAAGAAGCTGCAGACTCTGCATTCTCTTTTATCCCAGCCAGCTGGATGGTTTCAAAGCAATAGCTGATCACAAGTAATTACCAAAGATTGCCAGTGGGGGAAATTTTGGAAGCTAATTTTGTAGAGAAAAGTGTCCCCAGAAGAACTCTAAAACAGCAGAGCAAGGAGTTTTCAAGAAAGAGAGTGCTCCACCAAGTTGTCAACTGGCCAGAAAGCGGCAGGGGAGAGAGAGGAGAGAACCATCAGAACAGAGACAGAGGCACAGATAGACAGAGGTAGAGAGAGGAGAGGGAAGAGACAGAGGAAAAAGGAGAGAGGAGAGAGAGAAAAAGGGAGAGAAATACAGATATACAGAGAGAGACAAAGAGAAGAGATGGAAGAAGAGTTAAAGAAGAGGGAGAAAAGAAAAAGAAGAGAAGAGAGAGGAAGGTAGGGAGAGAGGCAGAAAGAGACAAAGACAAAGAGGTAGAAGGAGAGAGACAGAGACAGAGAAGGGGGGAAGGAGGAAGGGAGAGAGAGAGAGAGAGAGAGAGAGAGAGAGAGAGAGAGAGAGAGAGAGAGAGAGAGAGAACCAGACTTGAAATGCAGTAGCCTGGATAGCAGCCTTGACTCTACTGCAGATTTTCTGTGCTGTGCACATTGTGGATATTTAAATGCTTGTTGATTCCTTGCTGTATGATACTGGGCAAGTCACTTCCCTTTGTCAAATTGACTTTTCCTTATCTGTTCATTCATTTATTTAACCACTTATTAAGCAGCTTCTTTGTACAGATCCTTGTTCTAGTCACAAGGGGAGATGCAAAGACAAAGAAAGAATCACCCTTGCCCCTGGAGATCAGAGGGAGATGACATATGACATAGACAAATAAAATAAAATTTGAAATATAGGCATGTAAAAGGATTGTCCAGAGCTGGAGATCCGATGAGGGAGAGATCACTTCTAGCTAGAGGAATCGGGGAAGACATCATGAGGAAGGTGACATTTGAGTTAAGCCTTGAAGGACAGACAGGGATGGGGATCAGGATAGGGATAACACTCTCTGCCCTGCCTGCTCCCTCCAGGCTTATTGCAGGGCTCTTATCAGATAATCTGGTAGAATGCTCTTAAAAATAAAAGCACTTTAACTATCATATTGCTGCTTATTATTTCTTCTGTTTTACTGACCTTAGTCCTTCCTTATCTCTGCCCTCAGGACCTAATGAATGCTGGTGCTCCACACTATTGTTGGAGGAATGGAAAAATAACATCCCCTCTTGCAGAGACACACTGCTAAGGGGTGCATAGTTTGAAGGAGAGGGAGTTAGCGGGGAAGGGGGAATTTCCAGTCTTTCATTTCATTGATTCCTCAGGTCACATCCATTATCTCCATTCTTTCACCTTCCAATCCATTCCATGCATGGGGACACATTAATTGCCCTGAAACCCTGCTTTCATTTATAAAACAAATAAAAAAAAAAAACAACACACGGTTGATACAGTGGATCAACTTTTATAAAGTCATGGAATTTTAGGGGTAGAGGAAGTCTTAAAGATTGACTAATCCAGTGCTCTGGTCATAAGCAACTAGGTGGCCTGGTGGATAGAGTGCTGAGCTTGGAGTCAGAGAGACCTGAGTTCAAATCCAGCCTCAGGTACTTGCTATATGACCATGGGTAAACCATTTAACCACTGTCTACCTTAGTTTCCTCACAAGCAAAAAAAAAAAAAAACAGAAATAGCAATATTCCCTACCTCCCAGGGCACATTATAGAAAGTGCTTGGCTCAGAGTAGGCACTAAAAAATGCTTTTTTGGGGGGGGCAGCTAGGTGGCACAGTGGCTAGAGCACTGGCCCTGGATTCAGGAGGACTTGAGTTCAAATTCGGCCTCCGACACATAACACTTACTAGCTGTGTGACCCTGGGCAAGTCACTTAACCCCACTACTTAGCCAAAT